GATAAAAAGACTTCTATGTTTTTTAAAATGAATTTTATGTTTCTGTTTTGACAGAAAAAATTTCAGAGTATTGTGATCTGGTAAGACAATGTGAAAAATTTTATTTAATGGATCATAGTTTGCAACAGTGTCAGAATTCAATTGTAATACAAAAACTAATATTAAGATTACATTATAAGTAGCAGTGTCTTTCTTTTGTGTGCGGAATCATCTATGATTTTTTTGCCATGATTTTTCGTAAGTATAGCAAGTTTGTAAAAGAAAATGTTCAAATTTAATTGATCCTGCCTATTTCTGCCTTTTTCGTAATATCGTGGCCTTTGATAGTACAAATCTCATAAGTAGGATTAAAAGCATTGAAATTAACTAAAACTATTTATTGAGTAATGAAAATAGTTCATCCTAAAAAAATTGAGTGACACACAACAAAAAATAATTTCTGGAAAATAAGCTATGAAGTGAAGTCACCAAATCCAATAAATTTTGAATAATTTATAAGCCTCAGTTAAAGGGTCAGCCGTTGTTCCTATACAGTTATTTTTTTCAATTTTTAAAAAATGAATAGAAAAACATCACTTGCGTCTATCATGATTTATTTTTCTGGAAGAGGTTAACGAAAAAAAATGTCATGATAAAATGTGTCAACTTATAGCTTTTGAATGAAATTATAACAGTTAAAAAATGATGGTTAGATCAGAAATACGCACAATTTATTGAATTTTAGGTTTGGATAGTATTTTTTATTTAACGAGTAAACAATCGTGTCATATCAGTTTTTTAAGAGAACTAAGATTTTTTTAATTCGTTAAATTCATTAAATACCATAAATATCAAAGAAATAGTTCTAACGGTCTAAAATAATTCTCATTAATTTTTTTATTAAAACAATATAAAATTAATTTTTGGTAGAACTACTGTAAATATATTTTACGATTCAATTGCCATAACCTACATTTTTTATATTTTTTAGTAGATATAGTTAGTACTGTTGTAAAAATTTCTTACCCGCAATACGGCTATATCATCAGCACAAAATCCTTTGAGAATTGCTTTGAATCCTTTGACAAAATAAATTTTGTCGATACTACTCTGTCTATCAGAATTAACCTCACTTGTTTTTATTGACCCACTAAAAACCTCATAACTTTGGTCCAAGAATTCTTCTTTGTCATAAAAGCAATGTGCAGCGGTTAAANAAATATTTTATTACAAATATTTCATACTGTACGTGACAAAAGTATTTGGATTTGAAAAATTTTGCTTTGTATATTTCAAACATATTAATAAATATGCTACAGATATTTATTAGAGTTCGTATCAACTACGATTTAATATGGCCGTATTTTATTTAATTAATAAGATACAAATTTTTTTTAAATAACAAGTGTATCTTAATTTTTTAAATGATAAATACGATTTGGCTCAGGTCTGATGATGCCATATTTTTATAACCCAATTCAAAAAATTTTTCATTATTTTATTATATGTATGGTATTGATTATCAATCGACATTTGTCTTTATTATGTCTTTTAAGCTCTTTCCTTTTATCTAATTATTTATACTAACATTAGTCCATCTCAATCAATCTATGGCTTCGAATCGGCCCTTATACATATATTTTTCTCTAAAATAACTTAGTGGCTAATCTGTATTCATTTAAAAAGGATTCTTGTATCTGTGCTTTTGCTCGATGTCTCTACCATTATGTCTGGATTTTTAGTTTTCTTTTTTGTCTTTATACTTTGAAGTTTCCTGTTACCATCAATGAGTTTTCTCCGTGTGTTTGAATGTAGCTAATTCTATTTTATATTCGAGATGCTAAATTTTTTTTTATTAGAAGTTATGCTGTGATTCTATTACATACAGCTAGAAAGTCAGATACTCATTTCAAGAGTAATATTTCCGAAACACTGTAGCTAAAATTGTATGAAGTAGTGAGAAATATAAAATCTGAAAAGATCGATTGACATGTTACTGAAGCCTTTTTATTTGTTGTAGGATTGGTTAAGACAGGTCACGTGATTTGTATGGCGGTGCTTTTCAAAAAATGAACCGAACTTAACTGAAATAATATTTAAAATGAAATAATTTTATACCGTAGCAATGATCTGGTCTAATACAATTTTATTTATTTATTCTTTTAAAAGAAATAGTTAGAGGTATTCAATCGAGGTAAGGAATTATAAAATCTAGAGGCTGTTGGAAACATTTGGGAAATGGAGTTTGCAAAGTAGGTGTTGTTGGTCTAACTAATGATCAACCTTTCATACAAATGTCTTAAGCCAAACGAGCATCACACTTAAATTCTGCTTTGAAACATAATGTACCTACGACCAAAATTTCCTTGGAGTCCATTGATCCCACAGTGAAGGACACACAAATTCAATTTTCTTATTGATTAATTTGTATTAATTTTTAGGTCAAGGAACAAATAAATAACAGTGCATAAGCTTCCATTAACCGGTTTTATTACACGTTAATTACCACTTACAGTAGATCTAATGTGTAAGTAAAATAATTGTCATGATCAATACACGTTACAGCATCAAGGCAATGTTTAGATTAACATTGTCTCTCCGGTTCAGTGACAAAAGACCCGAACGAAAACAATAACGGCTTTGCACTTGAATCCAAATTGTATAATAACATACAAATAAATACACGAACTTACGTTTTTGTTTTGTTTTTTTCTTTGCCTTACGTTAAGAGCTTAGAGTATCAGAGATTCTTCACAATGACAGTTTCACATCTTTATTAATTATTATTATTATTATTATTATAGTTTTTTTTTTTCAAATTACTTTTAATTATGTGCATTTTCTCTTTCGCTCTGCTTCTTTCTCTTCCAAATAAATTCTACTGCGCTTCTCAGAGAGCAAGACTCGTTGCAGCGGCGAGCTTTTGTCCACTTTGACAGGTATATCTTAAAAACTTACAAACACCCTCTCCGGCAACGCTCCAACAATATCGGGAATACACTGTTTCGAGTCGACATCACCAACGCTGTTGTCATGAAATCCCGGCTACAATCCGTTGGATAAGCTAGATACTAGATTTTTGTTTTTATCATTTTTTTTTTTTTCAATAAAAAATCATTAGTAAAAATCGCGATTCGTCAAACTTTCAAGTTCGAAAGTCTCGATCACTAACTTTACGTATCATCTCTCTAGTCTGTTGCTGTGGTAACAACAGCATCTTGGAATGAATATCCATCCAATATTGACCGTGAATTTCGATACTGTTGCAACGTTGCCGGGACGTGTTGCCGTAACGTAAACAAAACCTCGTATTCGCAACAAATGCCACAGACAAGCCGTGCTATCTAGGCAGCATCTCGTAAATGCGCGTAATAACGTTGTTTATATTAAATTGATGCATATCTGCGTATATTCATATACATAACTATTTATATATATATATTTATAATTAATCATTATCTCTTTTACAATTTTCGCTTTTTTTGTCTCTCTCGCCTTTTCTTCGAAAACAAACAAAAAAAAAAAAAAAAAATCATACCGTCTCTGTGTCACAACATAATAATTTCATCGACTTCGGGAGGTCCCACTCATCAGAACTTTCTCGCCATTAAATCGACACTCAAGTATCATTATCACCTGCCCTAACGCGTTTTCCGGGGCGCATTTCCAACTTTCGCTCTTTTACCCTGTCCGCCACCAATCGTCGAACTCGCCCGCGCGCCCAGCCCTCCGCAGCAACAAAATTTCACGCGTCACGTATACAGTCTCGGTCATGCGACACGTGTCACAATATTGCTGCAATCGAATAACAAAATAAAACTATGTCTATAAATATATTCAACGTTACAACAGTCAGCAAGCGAAATTGAGTTTTGCACCGGCAATATAGCTCGCGTTTAGCTTTTAATATTATTAATCGTCTCTACGGGTGCACCTGCCCCCCCCCCCCCAAAATCAATTGCCAGAGGTATGCGGTGTTTCGTGTCTCTGGGTACAACGCTAATTTCGTTTTTTCCGTTCCACACCTCCAATAATATTCCATAACAATCACACACTCGATATTTCGATCGTCAAGATCGGGATAAATCATACGAACGTCTCCTTGACCGAACCTTAAAATAACGAATTAAGAAAAGTTTACACACGGTATTACACAGCCGAGTGGTCCTCGCAATGTTCACCACGTGCAAACTGTTTCGACTAGAAATACATGACATACTATTTATTTCCCTCGAGTCCCATCGTAGCTCTATAATAGCCGACGAGCCATCATAGGTGGGGCTCCTCAACGGGAGACTTTCAGAGTAACCGTACCATGTACGCTTCGAGCCAACAGGGGTTGGGCGTGCATGGTCTTTCGTTCCTTTCCCTCTCGGTATCGATGACACGGAAATACACGTGGGTATACGTAATCCAAACAAACAAAGCGTAGCCGTCGAACACAACGTACATCAGAGTCACTCGACACGAATGACCGTGGGCTCGTTTCGATTCGGGTGTCTCTGTTTCGACTTTCGAAGCTCTCGAGGTGGCATCGCAGGGTCAGATCACAAGCGAATTATTCGTCATCACGTTTTATCAATTCTCACTTTCACGTCATACCAATACAACACCGCGTGAACGTCCTTCCAGTACTTCCCGTTTGCTCTGTAGCCTCCGGACACATTTGTCTTTTCTTTCGGTCCCTCGCTTGTCGTGCTACACGCATATATACTCGCGCACGCACATACTTTTCTTTCCTTTTTTTTTTTATTTCTATTAATTTGGTTTGCTTAATGCATGCAAAGAGAAGCTGCGTGTACTCTACAACTAGAACGTCAAAGGGACAATGTACGGTTTCATTTGAAATACCAAAGCATACGAATAGGGGATTGTTTTTTTATTAGTTTTTCCTTTGTTTAATATCAATGGGTTTGGCTCGCAAGTTGTATGTATGTTTTTTTCTTCTTCTCGAGATTTTTTGGATAGTTATTTTTTTTTTTTCCATTCCACGCACTCGACTGAAAACTGAAAAAATTCAAATGCGCGCAATTTTCCTTTCTCGCTCTCTCACTCTTTTTTTTTTTTTTAATTTTTTTATTGCATAAAATCATTGTCTGGAAATCCCGAGGTTTTATCGCGACTCACTGGCCGGGAGATTCATGCATCCACGAGTCAAGTGTCTCTCATTGTACCATATTTTCGCCCTCGCGTGAGAACACATCTCTTCCTCCGTTTCATCGCTAGGAGCAGAAAAAAAAAACCAAGTGCAACGACGCGGCTCAAAGACGACGAAGACAGTAGAGAGACCAGGCGGTGTTACGAGCGGAAAAGGCTGTTTGGAAAAGCAAAAACAATCGAAAGATGAAAGGTAAAAACAAAAGCATGAAAAACCTCACGAGGGTGCGCAATGAGGCGACGACTCGCTCTCAATTTTCGTTTCGCGACACTCCAGTGCGCGCAATCTTCTTTCTCATTGCCGTGTATAGGTTCCGGTGTGGCGCGTGCGCGAGATGCGATGGGTTGGGTGGGGGTGGCTCTGCCCGAACAATTGTCTAGCGTTTCACATCGAAACGCCCAGCGAGCCACAAAAGGACGCCTATGGATCTACAAAGACCCATAAAGCTGCTTGGTGAGTGCAAGGAGTTCGTTGGTGACCCATGGTTACACGTATACGTATATATAGGCGGTAGTGGGTGAGTGTGTGCGGTGCATCACGCGGGTGTGGGTGAGTGTTGAGTTTGTGCGGCTCCTCTGAATTTACGTCAAGGATGGTTGATCAAGGCTACATTAACTTTTTATGTGTATGCGTGTGTGTGTGGTCGATTGGACAGGAGTGCGCACACGTGTTGGCTGGGCGCGCGCCCACTCCCCTCGCCGTCGACCACCTCGCCCCTCGCCCCCCCCTTTTTGTCTCTTCTTCGTTGGCCTTCACTCGAAAATAATCGGAAAGCCAAATTTGCAGAAATTTCGCGACTCGAGAGCAGAGTGCGAGCGGTTCAGTACGCTCCTCGAGACTTTGGCTACGGCGCCCATCATCTCGGCCAGCGAGTCCGCCACTCACTTGGCTTGGGCCTGGCTGTTCACCGGCCCGCCTACCGCTGTCTGCTGTTGCTGCTGCTGGTGGTACTGTTGTTGTTGTTGCTGTTGCTGCTGTGGTGTCAGGCTTATGGAGATACCCGTCAATCCTGGACCCTTGCGTGCGAGCTTCGACCTGAAAAATTTAAGTTTAAACGTGTTTTTTTCTGTTATTCTTGTAGCTCGCTTGCAAAATTCTATCTAACGACAGCAGTTTATACTTTATGTCAAAAGGTGAAATTCGATATGTCGTATCAACAGTACTACCTTACAGAAAAAATATCTTGAGACGTGATAATGAACGCTATCTACTTTGAGTAGTACGAGTTTGGATATGGTCAGACGTGTGAATGAACGCTATCTATTGTAAGTAGTACAAGTTTAGATGTGGTCAGACGCAATGATCAACGCAATCTATTGTAAGTAGTACAAGTTTGGATATGGTCAGACGTGATGGTGAACGCAATTTATTGTAAGTAGTATACGTTCTGATATGTTTAGACATGATAATAAACGAAATGTATCGTAAGTAGTAAAAATTCAGATATGGTCAGATGTGATGGTGAACGCAATTTATTGTAAGTAGTACAAGTTTAGGTATGGTCGTACGTGTACTGTAGTAGGTTGTGAATTTGGAATTTCGTTTGAAGAAAAATTCATTGTAATGTAAGTACTCTATGTAATACCGGCTAATCTGAATAATAATTAGGTGCCGTTTGAAGCCGTGAAAATAAAATTCGGGTTTTTTTTTATAACAGTAAAAAAAGCTCTGTCTTTGTACACGTTTTAAAGCGGTGCCATATATAATGAGAAAAATCATAATTTCTTTTCATACACACAGTTTGGGAATAGTATTAATACTAGTATAAGCGACCAAAGTTGAGGAAAAACGTCCAAGATAAAAAGATACCTCTATGCATAGAATATGAAAAAAACACTTTTAGAACTGATGAGTCATGATGGAGACAAAATATGTAAACTATGATTATACAAAAAAAAAAAGTATTATTTTATAACAAAGACGTAAAACTACTTGCCTGATCTGACCAGCCAACAATGGGTTGATCGCGTACAGCCAATCGTAAACTTCCTTATCACCCAACGTTTGGAGGAGATAACCTCGGTGTTTCGTTACGACGCTAAAAAAATGAAACAAAATTTAATTTCATGCTCTACAAAACATGAAAAATACAATCGACACCTACCTAAATGTATTAGGTACTTTGACCATAGCCAACTGGTCCTCTGAATATTCTACTTGAGCAGTGGCTAAGTTAATCAGTGCTCTCTCGACGGGGTCTTTTTCGTCTCGGAAAATAAAAACGTACGGTCTGCGAACCGACTGTAAGTGATTAAAAATGAAATTGAGTAAAAAGAAGCAATTGTAACACGAAGAAATACAAAAAATGATGAATCGCATCAGCTCTAAAAACTCACCACCCATCGTTTCTTCCAGCCATTGGTCTTGTGCTCGAGGACGTTGAGGTAACCCTTGCGAGCGATGACGGGGCTGATGCGTATCTCCTCGACCTCGGGCACGTAGAGCACCAGGTGTTCGCTGTTGACGGGCGAGATCGAGCCAAGCGGGGCTGGAGCCACCGAGCCGTGGCTCGCCGACTCGCCGGCCATAATACTGTCCTGCAACTCCTGCAGCCTCGCGCGCTCCGGCGAGCTCAACCTAAAGATGCACGACTTAGACCTGCTCGTCACTATTAATCCGCCGTACTGCAAGTAACACACACCCTCTCCTGTACAACCTGAGACGCGTTTTCTTACTGCCTTACTTTTCCTCTGTACTCTTTCCTCGTCAACGCCTCCTCTCAGCGAGGATTCTCTCTTTCTACTTCAGCGGTTGTCTATCGTTAGAGCAAGCGTGACTGATGATAATCATCCGCACTTTTGTTTCCCTTACCTCGATCTCGAGATTTAATAAGTGTAAGGGTGAAAAATTGTGATTGAATTAAAACTTTGTGCTCGTGATTTCGAGTAATTTTTTTTTACAATAGCGTGCGATTACTCTAAGCTTTTATTGATGAGTTTTTTTTTCTTTTTTTTCAAGTCAAGTTGACGAAAAAGTCGTTACAAAGCCAACTTGCAAGGAAAGTGTCAGTCTTGGGGTTCTCGAGTTTTTAGTGTCAAGACGTAAAAAAGAATTTTGACATTGTAGTGGGTCATCGAAACAAATGGAAAAATTATTTTTAATGCTTGGATATCAGCCATATGGCATTGAAAGGATCATTTATTGAACGTAAATAAAAATAAAACTTAAATCCCGTCAATGAAACATAAGTTTTCTCGTTTGAAATTCTCCATTTGAAGACAAGCACCAAAGTCTACGTTAAACGTGTGTTTATAATACTAATGCGTAATCTTTTATCTTTGGTACAAAATCTTTTTTCATTTGAAGTTTGACTTTAAGTTTGAAAAACCATAAATCTCCACGTTAGAATTAAATGTACAACTGATGGTACGCTATTGGTACTACAAGCGGCAAAAATACATAGAAGCACAATCTACATCTTTTGATGATTTGCCACGTCTTTTAAACATCAAGGTGTTGAACGATAAGAAACTGAAATTCATTCGAATGTTTTGATAGGAAGAAACATACTTTTAAAAGTTTGACTAAAATCTACAACCTGCAATCCTGACACATTCTTTGTCTCAAAGATTTCGAGTAGCATCGTTTCGGGTCCCCGTTGCATACTTTTTAAAATCTTGAAAATGTAAATCTAAAGTTTAAATCGGTACACATCGATCAATCTATCATGAAAAGTGTCAAAGTTGCTGTTCACGTGTTTTATATTTCTTTGTGCCGAAATATGAAAACCAAATTGAAACTCCAGATATGGATAAAAATTAATGTTGTAACTTGAAGCTTTTGTTAAAAAGTGACGAAAGATTTAAATCAGCTGTCAAAATCCATGGCAAATCTATTCACGGTTTTACATGTGTAAATTTCACTTCAGCTTTTGTTAACGTCCGTCCAAGTCATTTTACTGATTCCATACGGTTGAAATTCAAGTACTCGAGATACATTCAATACGGTTTGATGACCACAACTTCGGAGCAACAAAAACATACAATCTAATAAAGTGCCGTCAAAAAAATGTTAATAAAAAAAAGTAATATCCCAAAGTTTGATGCACATCCCTGCTGACACTCCCTTTATCAATTAATAGTTTCCAAGCAATGTAAGGTGGTTCGTGAAAATTTGATGGGCTGAACTACAAAAGCTGCTCGAGCTGCTTGCCACCGCAAAAAAAAAAAAAATGTTGTGCACAATAGACATGTTCACCAAGTAAGTAAGATGCAAGCTGACACGTACGGGCTTCATGTACGTACGTGCCCAAAATTAATGTGTGTACATAATATAGCGCATCGACCATAGACGAAGACAACCGCTACGGGGCGTTTCAGGCCATACGAGGATTAAGTGTCCTTTACCTGCTCGTGCTCGTTTAACCGAGTGTATACTGACTCTTGGGACGAGGAGGAGACGACCGAGGACATCATCGAAGCGCTCATGTCACCCATCGTGTCGTCGTTCGGCGAAACGTCCGACAGGACGATGGGCTCCTTGTTCGGTATTCTCCCTTGTATCAGCTTGACGTACTTGCTGGTCAGCTCCTTCTCGCGCTCGGTCATCTCCCACGGCTCGTACGTGTCCTTGCTGGGCGCCTTTTTCACCTTTACCGGACTTGCGTGGGACTCGTTTGTTGCCTTTGCCACCATGTTGCAGACCTCCTGCGCGCGGCACGAGTACGCGTGTTTTCACCAATCACGAATAATTGTATTTGATGAAAAATTGGGTAACTAAATGTATCAATGGTATTCGCCATCTGCAGGAATTCCAAAACAGCGCCATCCGAATGGGAAACCCTTTAACTAATTATGGCCCCCAACAATAATGTGTCTTTGATTTAGTGTTTGGTGTTACTTTTAAAACAAAAAATACCTTCCTTGCAACTTTATGAGGAAAAAAAAAAAAAAAAAAAAAAAAACATGTTTTTATAACAAAGAGAACGGCAGTTTATCCCGTGGGTGGCGCAGATTGAGATCACTGCACCGAGCGAATAGTATCGTAGAAATTTGAAAGTTACAAGACAAATCAAACGACAGTCATGTACATTAAACGGCGCAAAAACCGACCTTCTCGCTTTTGGTGAAGTCGTGGGTGGCCTTGTTGCAGAACGTGTTTTTGTCAATGCCAAGCTTTTCCCTGAGAAGTAGGGTGTGCCTGACGCGCTCGACCTCCTCGAGCCTAGTCAATTTCTCGAGTTCCCATTGGTGGTCGAATATGAGGCTGTCGCCTCGAGGTCGCCAGCCGTCGAGGTTCTCTTCGCCCCTCACGTAAGTCGAGCTTGTGTCGAGCACGCGACGCTGTCGTCTTTGCACGCCTGCGAGCAACCGCAACCAAAAACCAACTCGTAAACCATTATATGCAACGTTCCTTACTTATGGAAATAATTTTGATCCTTTTTTGGTGTTACTTATTTCCGTACATGTATCGAGAAAAATTGAACAGTAGCAACCGTTGCAATCCATTTTCACAAAGTTTTTTTGAAAATCAAACAAATGGATGACATTCAAAAATAGTATTTCCATCAATATACACACCAATTAAACGATGAGAAGGATGATGGAAGGCGGATTTGGCTTGAAGGTTGTCAAAGGACGGAAAAAAAGACGCATGAAAAAAAAAAATCAGCCACACGCAATCACAACACCGATGGCTAAACTAGTGTGGTCGATCTTACCTGCTTCGGAAGAGCGACGCAACACGAGCTCGTAAACACCGCTGAGCCGATTCGCCTCCTGGTTGCGGTAGCTCCCGCTAAACAGATGCTTCAACGAGCGCGGCCCGACTCGCGCGTCCCTCCCGTAAATGATCATGCTGAGGTCCTTGGTAATGATGGCCGGTCTGCCGCAGTTCTCCAACTAGAAACGAAGACGCAGAGTTAAGTACTCGCAACGAGGGGGCCAGTGGTATTCTCGTCACACCGTATACCTCGAGATAAGCAGAGATGGTCATGAATATTTGCTCGCCGTACGAGGTGACGCGGTTCAGGAGCACCGAGTTGTGGAGCGAGCTGTCCCAGGCGGCTTCGAACCTGAACATGCACCTGTCGTCCCCGGGCACGTCGAGGCACTCGCCAGGGAACAGCCCAAGTGACAGCACGCTCGAGTCGTTGTCCTCCTCCTCGGGCTCGGGCGTGTTTCGGATCCTACCCACCACGAGTTCGCGCACGTCCTTCCAGCGCAGCTCGGACGCCTGCTCGTGGACAATGGTGACGCGGATGCGCCGCTGTATGCCCTGGTGGAGCATGAAGAGACCCCGGCAGGGCAGGTCATCGCTGTGGTCGACGACGCAGGGCACGTACTCGCCGTTGGGCGCCAACTCGCAGATTTCGAACCAGACGAGCACGTCGTACTTGGCGTGCACGTGCGAGGTGCTGGGCGACGGCAGCACGCTGCTGAACTTGGGCGAGCGGACCGGCTGGCTTATTGGGATTGACGGTGGTAGCATGCGCTTCGGTGGCTGGCGTACGCTGTACGTGGACGGTTGTTCATGGGTAATGGCATTTGTCATTTTTTTTTTTTTTTTTTTTTCAAGCAGCAGAATTTGTAAGGAAAAATGTGGTAGAAAGTCTATCTTTTGTTTTGTAAGGGATATAACAGTTTAGTATAAGGGATTTGGATGGTTCATAAGAGTGGTATATAGATAAACAACTGATTGGCCTTACTATTCGAGTTTGGCGTCCTTGTGCAGAGGATGTTGTTGATAGTGGCCAAAGACCTCGAAGACTATCGGCTGCGTCTTTATGTACTCGACAAACGATTTGGTAACTGTGACGGTAATCTAATGGAAAAGAAGACGAAAAATAAGATTACTGGGGGATTTGCTCACTTTGGAGGGTCAATGTATCAGCTGATGATGCAATTACATTTTGTACATGGTAAAAGCCAGGGGGATTGCCTTTGCCGGTGTTCTTGACGGGCTCGGTTGAGAAAGCCTCGTCGTGGCGATGCAAGAAACTACAATCGATAAAACGAATTTTAAGTTTTTATCAAACGATCAACTCGAGTAAAATACAATCAAAGAGCTGAGTCAAGTGCTTTGTATAGATTTTAAATATAAGTTTGCACGTAGATTCTACGTAGATTTCGCATAGACTGCCACATGATTTCCACGTAGATTTCACAGGAAGTTTACATAAAATTTTTACGAAGCGGTAAAAGTATCGCTATAAGATACAAATATGGAATAGTATACAGAACGTAGATAACAGAGAAACCAAATTATTTTGAATTCACAAAAAAAGGTCTTTTCTAGGGTAATCTCTGCGCCATCAACGTATCTGCATGGTTCCGTGGACGGGAAAAGGCTTGGAGTGAAGAAAAAGCTCACTTGAATTGACAGAAAATATCAGCGTATTCGGTAGCAATGCCCACGGCCTGGAGAACCGTCACGCGGAAGGTGAACTCGACGCCCGGCTGGAGGTGCTCAGGCGCTTCCTCCTCCTTGGTATCGCTGGCCACGGAGCTGTCCCCACGGCCGCTGTCGGTGTCCCCGACCTCCTCGTCCTCCTTCCCCTCCTTCTCGCTCTTGACCTCCTTGTTCTCCGAGTGGCCCTCGATGACCCGCTCCTCCGCCAGGATTTGATGCTGATGATGGTGGCCACCTTTCTCCATGCCCTGGGCGAGCAACGCGTTGCGACGGTTTTGGCGCTGAGTCGCGCTGCCGAAGAGGTCGTCGTCGAAGGAGATCCGGGCCGACTGTCTCACGCCGCACGAGTACTCACTGTTTTCCTCTTCTGGCGGAAAGTGTTCGTTAAGATTGGGCTCTCTTATATCTTTAGTTTGCTTGTTCGGTTCAATTGCAAAGCGTCTTTTATACACCCAGGAATTAAAAAAAAAAAAAAAAAAAAATCATGTGTACCAATACACCGAACTGAAATCGACCGAGACGTACCCATGACGGCTTGAACGGCGACTCTGAGGTACCCTTTGACGTCGCCTTTCTCGTTGACAATGGCCACTTTGTGGATCAGAGGGACGGGATACAACAAGTTGCTCAGGTATATGAAAGATCTGCAAAGTACCATTATTTTTTTTTTTTTTTGGTCACTCGTTGGTTCCTTCCCACGAATATGGGATATACACATATATGAGACTCCCAAGGAAACATCGAATTACCTGCCAACCATACGGAACCAGGGGAACCGATCGTAGAACGGGTCGCCACCCGTGATGCTCTCGATGTTGTAGTCCGGCGAGGTTGGCGACAGCTCGGCCTCGTTGTGGTACATCTCGCGCATCAGCTCCAGTCTTTGTCTGACGGAGACACGGAAAACGTTAGTTATATTTTGATGCACGGCTCGTTTTTGTGCAAGTACACCTTATTAATGACAACACGATAAGAGTCAACACTGCACGACATGCTGACACAAACGCTTCTGCGTGAGAGGTATACATTTCGCATTGCGACGTGAACTTATTATCACGGTGGTACACGTGCATGAAACGTTTCTTGTCCGAACGCTGGCCTATATATTGAAATCGTAGTGATATCCGTAATTCTGCTGATTGTTCACAATTTTTTTTTTCCCCTCGTACGGATGTCATATGATACATGTTAATTATTTATGAAAATTGGAACTTTGAAGAAAACCACGCGTACAGGTTTAGTGTAACTAAAGTGCGATTGAAACACCCTGGATCATATCAAAAATCTTACTGTATGCCTACTACTTTATGCACAAATAATATAGAAAAAAATCAAACAATCACGATTAAATCTGCTCGCTAATTATATTACATTTTAATTCATACGTTGTGCGATAGTATAAAACGAGGGAGCGTGGTGAGCCTAAAAAATTAACGATGTTTCTATTTTTTTTAAATCATCATCAATGAACAAAAGCAAGCTGAACAGCTTGGGGAATCGTGAGTCGGATCTTGACAAGTAAAATGAACAAGTAGTACAGATAAACGTTTGGTCAGACATTCCGTCGTACTGTTATCGATGCCCATAGTAGTTACAAATGTCATATCATCAAAAAATGAATGAGCAAAGTGCTTTGCAACGATTTTAATGTTTCTCGTAAATTATCAATTGGAAATATTTTCACTGAAAATAAAACCTCCAGGTCTACTGAAATCTCCATGGCAATTATTACGGAATACTGATTGTACTCTGTTGTGACGTTTATCTGATAGATTCGGTATTATAATTAATACTAAAGTGTTTAGATGGTCTAATATCTATTGCCAGTGAAATTTCTAATGTACATGATAACTAAATAAAACACACATTGGCACTTAAATTTAAAAAAATTGTTTTTGCCAAAAACACTAATGAAACAGGCTATTTTTTGCCACGTTGAGCAACTCTGCGCAACAGCTTTTCGGCAGGAAATAGCCAATAGACTTAGCTAGACATTTTTTAGGATTGATAAAAGTTGACGAACGTTAATTTTTGTAACTAACACAAATAACGCAACCAAAAACCCGTTGATAAAATTACCAATACAGTAGAACAGATGTACTTGAAACAGTTTAAAGAATTATGTTTCAGTCATGATTAAATTTTTAAAGGAGAATTAAAATGTTGGTTCATTCATTACAAAAGTTGTATCAAAATTTGGGAGTACAAATTATACTCCATTTGTCTAAAATTATGGGTTATTTTCTTTTGTCCTGACTTGGGACATGCACCGAATATTATAGAAATGGTAAAGTGACTATGAGAGCTCAGCACTGAACTCAATCGTGTTACTTAAAATTCATGCAGACACATTGATACATGTCAGATGTAGATTAAAATCCTATTTAATGAAAAAAATAAAAGGTAGGTAAATATTACCGTCAGTGATAATATAATACATGACAATTTAAAAGTATATTATTTTCATACTACAGAAAGTAAGACCAAACTTAATTTTTTTTCTTATTATTTAAATAACTATTTGTGGGTACTAATCCCTGCCTAATGAGACCATTTTATCGATTCATGTGTATTTTTATAGTAAATCAGCAGAAGCTTCTTAACTTGTATAAAAAGTTCAGACTTAAAGCACACATTTAATGTCAATGCAAAAAACAACAAGATTTAAATGTAACAACGATTCCGAGTAATTTGCATGAACTCGTGACATTGCAATTTGTCGGAAAAATGTTCAACGTCTCAGTAAATAGTTCATGTAAAAGCATAAAAGTCTTCTCCAAAAGACATGTAAGCAAACTCAAACATTATTTACGTTCGCGTTGGCAACGGACTCATTCATATTTAGAAATCCAAGCAATCGATGGCGATGCAAGCGACGGGACATGGACTGCGCAGACTTGAAGCACTTTATCTTTTTTATTACTGATCTTGACGTTTTCGAACACTTTGTATGATTACTACATTCGTTGAGAATTTTATGATTTTGCGAAGAAGCAGTATTTGGATGTGATAATTTGAAAAGACAAATTGTTTTATTTATATTTATAATATATTTACAATCGAAAAATGTCATAGTTATTTTTAAATTAGATACTAAGTAATTATATCAAAATATTTTAAAAGTTTAATAATCAAATTCACTAATTTCTTGTGATACGCAAGTAAACCCACTTTAATGTTGTTGTCCACGTATTATTCCAATGTAGAAAGTAAATTAAAATATGATAATCAGAAAATAGTATTGCTTGGATTTTTGGCTTGATTAATACAGCTTTAAACGCAAATGAATAGCATTTCGATTGAGTAACGGAATAATATGACATTTTATCCAAGCAGTAACTGTTGTCAAGTAATTAGAGTACTCAATTAGAAAGACAAAAATACTAAGAGCTTAGAAAAAACGTTCTCGATGTACATTTCAAATAAAAACGACAAAAGTGCGATAAATTTGTTTTAGACGTGAAATAAAGTTACAATGAATTCGTGGATTCTTGAACTGTAGGCATACTATGTGAAGAAAAAAAAGTTTCAATTTTCAAAAAATCATGAAAAAACGTTTTATCAATTTTAGTTTTGATCTTTGAGTATTACTCCCGGGTGTACGTAATACTATTGTTAAACTGCATTTGTATGGTGAAATCAACGACGTGTTATTTTAACGTGTGCTCAACCAGTGATGAAATCAATGAAAACAAAAAGAAAACAAAAAGACCGTGATTTAGGTTGGCCAAAATTAATATTGGTGATGGTGGTGGAAAGAGATCGAAACAATGGACAAAGTGCCAAGCGGAAGCTGGAAGGTACTGGGAATGATGTGACACCGATATGTTATTGGCGATGAAGTGGACGATGGCCGTCCAAGCGGACTCGTGCGCGGGCCGAGCACCAACCTCGATGGCAAGAGATTTGCCAGTGATGGTACGCCGGCCGGCGCGCCTGCATTGCCGGCAATGGGCTTTGTGGTGCAACAACCAGCCTCCGGCTCGCAGCCACTCGAGTCCTCGTTGTACGTCGGGCGCATCAGTTCCAAGCGCTGTCTACAAAGCGAACGGCAGCAACGATAACAACAACAAATAACATATCTGCACCACTTTTTCGAACACAAGTGCAACGATGCCCGACTCCGAGGCTGTTCATGTTTCGTTCACTTTGCTATTTTTTTCCCTCTTTTTTACTAGAACAGTTTTTTGCTCGTTTTTTGCTGCTACCACTACTATTACTACTTTGAGAAATGAATAGATGCTGCTGTGTTGCTTCGGTCATTGTTCAGTTCGTTAAACTTTCATCGGTGCAAAGTGTGCACTTACTAAATCTGAGCCTTTTAACTTGCAAAAATAAAATTCAAGCTTGCACGAGGTATATTTTTTCCCTCCGGGGAATGTCCAAACTGCACGTGGATTTATTTTCCCCACGCGAGTTGGCACTGCTTACCTGAGCTTGTCAAGGGTCCAGTAGTGGGTGGCGCCGTTTTTCAAGTCCTGCACTTCGACAGCGACGATCGTGCGTGGCAAAGGTCTTTCCTCTTCGTCTTCATCGTCCGCGGCTGGTAAGAGGTCCGGGGGTAAAGGCGAATACAAAGTGTCGGTGAGCAGCGTAAACTGGAATTGGACCTTTAACCAAAAAACAGAGTTCTCTTAAACCTGTAGAAGCTTTGTAGGGAAAAAAGGAACAATCGTTTTCCAAATGTTGATAAAAAAATCTCATTGGACCAAAAAATTTTTCGTTACAACTCAATGGACAACGAGTGTTGAAGCTTCAGTCGATGCGGTTTGTTTTTGGTTGGAAAATAAGGTATACCAATGCTGGAAGAGCCTCACCTTCTTCTTGAGCTCGACAGAAATGGCGTTGGCTTCCTTGAGGAAGATGGCGTTGCCCCACAAATCGTCCCTCAGACTGGTGAACTGGTGGTACTTCCACTTGCGGAAGGCCCAGCCGGCCAGCTGGAATTCGCGCTCACCCCAGTTGCTCTCTGCGTCAAACAATGGGTTGACTGAAATGCAACAACCGATGGGCGAAACAATCAGATCAAGCCAAGCACAAAACTCTTTTGTCACGGTAACGCTGCCACGGCGCTAAGGCTCGAGGGGTTGATGAGCTCGTGGACAATATGTGTACAATGTGACGTGGGATGCTCATTTACAGCCGGCATATCGAGGCTTCGTGTGTGTGTGCGCGCGTAGTTACACGTGATTGCGCGCGGGTGCTTAAATAGGCGTTGTTGCATTCACAATCGGAAATCAATAGATAACAAGTGCACTGACATACTCTGTTCCACTTCACAAGCTTGTGTTTTTGCGTTGTATAGATACCCAAGCGATAATTATACCTCTCATTCGTTAGTGAAATATAAAAAAATATTAAATTACAATAACAAATAATTAAGTCCAGATTTGAAACTATGATGATATTTTAAAAATTACCTTTTTTTTCTGTGAATTTTGAATGGAAAAATTTAGTTTTGTTTCCTCATTAAATCACGGCAACAAATCATTTTTATGAACAATTAGTAATAATTAGTAGAAATTTTCATCAGTTGCTCAATAATTTTTTTAAGCAATTAATAATAAACAATAGATATTATAGACGATTAGTTTTAGTTAATTTTAATTTATAATAGTTATCATCAGTTATTATTATTTTTTCACCATCCGATACGTCACTTATGACGAAAAAAAAAAAAAATAAATAACAGCTAACAATGACAGATATTAAATTCTCTTCCTCAATAACTAATAATGAGATTTGTTGAATTCTCTTGTCAGTCTAAAATTTGGACATAATTATTTCACCATCACTTCTCATTAATTATTGATTTTAATTTTCGCTTGGGTACGAAATTGTGTCAGCAAAGTAAATATTTTTGTTTTCAAAAAACGTTGCGAAGATGATTAAACTTGAACAAGGAGCAATGAAACCGTGTAGGAGTACATAGCAAAACTGCATGCTGCGTGAAACATTACGACATAGTTCGCATTGGGATACAAATCAGTAACTGTGACGAAAAAAAAAAAAAGAAAAAAATGCGCAACTGTGTAAAAGTGTGAAAACATACGCTGAGACAAAGAAGCAATAAACAGGACTCACCAAATATGTCCTCCTCGGTGTTGTTAAAGTCTTCGGGCGTGTAGCTGCTGTACATCGACATGGTCATGCTCTGTTCTTCCACTTGTTTTTGCAAGGCGTCGATGCGGGCCTCGTAACTCTGAAAGCGAAGATAATCACGTTGCACGATAACATCCGCCCGACGAATAATAATGTTATATATCGCAATTTTCTGCGGGGGTGGCGTACTTTTCTTTGCTCCTCGAAGAGCTGGTCCGCCTCCTCCTTCTCCTTGCGAAACTGCTCCTCCAGGACCAAGAGCCGCTTGTCCATCTCCACCTTGAGGTCGATGCCCTGCTTCTCCAGCAGTTCGATCTGCGCAAAGTTCCAGTCGACCGTCTCGCCGGTTCCCGGTGTCTCGGCTGGCGAGTTCTTCTCGCGTCTCTCGCGAACTGTAGACCAACGCAATGTCACCTCTTTTTTTTCGTGTATATAGCTAAATACGTATGTTTGTGCCGATCTCACAGAACATAGTCGCATAAGTAGCATGGCTTGCAAAGTATGGAAATAAATGTCAAATACTCAGGTACGTGGAATTCACGGCTTTTTTTTAGAATCCAATTTTGCACCCTTACGAGTTGCGATGGCGCGGGTTATTGAAAACTTGGAGTGCAGTGGCTTTTTTCGACCAAAATATACTTTTATCCATACGCGTTATAATAGTTATTTACGTAACAAGTACGGAAAAGACGATTTCCCGCACGATTCGTGATTGACTTGCACGAGTGGATAGAGTTGATGGGAACGAGTGCGAGTTGATCATTGATCGCAATGCTCGAGTTACCATCACCGGCCACGAGTGCGAGTCTATCACACGAGTGCGGGAAATCGTCCCGCACGAGTGGCGTACAAGTTTTTTCCGCCCTCGGGTGGTTTTGAAGGCTGGTACTATCTCGGGCAAAAATGCAGTTTTCCGATACTCGTTCGAAAAGTCTCCTTTACGAACCTCGTTACGGACCTCGCTTTCGGCTCGGGCCGCAAACCTCTCGGTTCGCAAACAGAGACTTTTCAAACTCGTAGGAAAACTACCATTTCGCAATTAGTGTGCGGAAAATAGGTGTTTTCCGCAATGATATTAGTGTGCAACATCGAGTTTCCCACATAGTGTGCGGAAAATATTTTTTACCGAAGGCGGGGTCCGTAACGAGGTTCTTAAAGGAGACTTTTCGAACGAGTATCGGAAAACTGCTTTTTTGCCCGAGGAAGTACCAGCCTCCCAAAATCACTCGAGGGCGGAAAAGTAAATTATAACGAATACATGACAATGAAGAATTTCGTAACATGTTGATTATGGCTATTGGAAAAAGCCAATGAAATGAAAAAAAAAAAAAAAACCAATTTTGTGACAGTGGTAATTTTGAAAAATATGTATCGCTTGAATGACGATATGGATTCCGTAGGTACATCTAAGATTTCCGAAATTATCCAATAATTGTAATACAACTTAATATATCAATGATTTACTTTGTGAAAGTATATATATTTGAATTACAATACAACTTCAACATTTTATAGAACTGTGATCATGTACGCGATACATTATGTTGTACTAGCCAATGGATATTCATGATCTTGATTTGATGATTTTCATTAATTATTGTTACAAATTTAGTTACATTAATGGGGATACAGTTTTATTTAAATCCGAAGTAAATATTCTAGTTAAATGATATTTAGGTTTTTACTCTGCAAACCAACATTTGGGTGAGTTTTTTACGTTTTCTTGGACAAAAGTGCGAGGTGCCCGTAAAAATAAAAAATAAAACTAGTCATACAACTAACTAATAACTTTTTACACCACACTGTCAAAAAAATTTTTAATAATTAAATACTCAATTAATATAGCAGATTAAAGTGTAGTACAACCATTCCAAAAGTCAAATCTACTGGGTTTTGATAAACGCTTATTGTAGGTGCGGATATAATATATATTAAATGGAATATGCCAATATTAAAAATTCAAGTGCGGTTTTGATATTCATGAAAGTCATTACTTTACTTGGAAGTGATATATTATTAAGTGAAATAATATATTTAAAAAAAATTGCAGCAGAGACTAATGGTAGGAAAAAAAAAGTAGGTCACAAGAGTATATTGGTTTTCACCCACAGTAGTCTCGGGATACGCTTCCCTCAAAGTCACAAGAAGCATCTCGCAGGTTTCTTTAAACATGCAAGATTCCTACCATCCGTTTTATATCCATATATACCACGAGCTGCTCACACTGGTTGCCGTCGAATTAATTTTTTTCGCTTCGTAATTACAGTCACAGTACTTGAGGGCAAAAAAAGCGGTTTTTTCCCCCATCGTTAGGTAGATTTTCGGTATGTTATCAATTCCAAAGAGAAATTAAAAGTAATGAGACTGATGGACTTTTAGCTTTGGTTCAACTTAAATAGGAAAATTTATAAATATTTGCAGGTATCGAGAAAATTAATGCAAGCAAAAAAAAGATAGCTTTACTTGAAAAAAATTTTTATAATTTTTCCAAATGTAATTTAAGACCCAAATACCGAGTTTTAATGTCGATATTAAAAAAGTATCTAAATTAGATGTGTTTGCATGTCTACTTACTTGAAAAAATATGAACAGTTATATTTTTTATACAAATGTATTTAATAGTGAAGTTGCAAAAACAAAATATTGTAGTAAAAATTATCAGAATAAAAAAGCTCAACAGCAAACAAGAAAGGGGAACCACCATTAAAATGTAAATATTTATATTCTGTATCATCTTCAACCCTCATAAAACTTTGGTAGAGTAATTTAGATAGAAATACTAAAAAGGATTAAATACATCATCTCCCAAAATACAGCCTAGGTCATTGACAAAATAAAATTACTTGTTATTGTAAACACAATAATCTCTTGTTTTGTGAAATAGAGTATCAACAATTACTACAACGAGTTTTGTATACAAATATTGAAGGAAGACTAAGATTTTTATATCATGGTACAACTACAACCTTTGGTACAATTATTTATTTATTCCCGTTAATATTTACTTCAACTTTTTCTAGCCAACTATACTACCCCACAGTACGGCCGATTCCCCAAAAAATTGCCAAAAGTTACAACTAGGGGTTTCCTGGGGTCTTTAAATGCAAATTTGATGTTCGATTTACGAAAACTTACTCCCCTCATCCCTTAGTGACCATCCTTTGGCATAAAACATCGCCTATTTTTCTACATGCGTAATTGAATCACATTTTACTTTTGAGGTCATTCAACAACTATTGATTAATGATTTTGTTAATTATTTAAATTAAATACTGTTTAAATGTTATTAGTGAAAATTGTAATAGTTTTTATTTTATAAAACTATTTGAAAATAAATTCCGTCTTATCAGTTTTACTCACGAATATCATGAAACTGATGTTAAAAAAATCGGCACGTAGCTACCCAAAAAATCGACTGGTGTATTTTAAACACTTTACTTCAGGTATACAATATTTATGTTTTATTAATCTATCAGTCGTTTTAAGTTAAGAAAAAACACTCAATACTATAAAACTTATCGGGTGTGGTCAAAAGTACATCGACGTTAATATTGAGAAAAAAAAATATAAACGTTCGCGGTGATCAAGAAACTAGGAATTTTGTAATTTGGTGCTACATTTTTCATATACAGATGATGTCACTTGTTCAAATAATGCACCCAACCAGTAGTTGATGCACATCATGCTGGAGGCAACATAAAAATTCTCCCCGTACTCATTTTTTTGATGCTTCATAGTTCCCTTTAGCATCTGCATCAGAATTAAAATAAAATGAAAAATTCGGTAAGTACCAACAATTGGGGTCATACTAACAATTAAAAATGAGAATTTCCAAAATCCAAACAATATTAAAATTATTGAAAAAATGGTTTAATGATAACTGTAATATTTGATAACATATAATTCCTAAAGATTTGTCAAGATTGTGATGACGCACAGTATCTAGGTGTTCTTCTTGTAAAATAAAATTAAAAAAAAAAAAAATGTTAAAGAAACGAGGCAGAATAAGCTTGATTGTTGGTGTGTATGGTTCAAGTGCTGGAAACTCGACAGATAAGAGCACACACAGCGAGAAAAACGCGGCAATCCGTGCTATCAGCAACGTTCCAAGTGTTGTACTCAGTTAGGAAAAAATACACAATTGGGAAAACCGAAAAAATTCGTACGAAACCGAAAAGGTGCAGGATTGTGTCAAAGTAAAGATTTTGTTCGGTTTACCTCGTGATTATGCAGATTTTATTGACGGTGGGTACACAACGTATCGGTTGGCGGATTCTCTTGGCGTGTGCTCGTTTTGATGCGTGCACGACGGGTGTTTCCGGATTGGGAGCAGTACAGCACGTAGTTGTGCCAAAATGTATATATTGTTCGGGCGGTGCAGGAAAGGAATATACAGGGAAAAAAAAAAAAAAAAACAGAAAAGGACATAGTACAAAAAAAAAAAAATAAACAGTTATAAGGAATAAAGAGCGCGCGCGCATAATCAGGTGATTCCCCGTTTTTCGATGATGTCCGACCACTCGCGACGACTCCTCACCACGAGCCCCAGGGAGATTATCGCGAGACTACTGTACACTATCTGCTTTATTAATCGCTGTCTTCTGATTGCGGGAAATGGTAAAAAATACAAAACTACTGTTAAAATTATGTTCCTTTTTTTTTTTTTTGCCACAAAAGTAATAATGTAAACTTATTTAGAAAAAATCAATAAAGAGCGGTACACTATTGCACCAGGATTACCGCGACACTTACCTTGCTCGGGATGATTGAACCTAAAGACGTGGTTCTTGCCGAGGATGACACGGGAGCCAGTCTTGAGGATCATGGGCTCGGTGATGACGCGCCCGTTCACGTAGATGATGGCGCTCTTCTTCGGTATGAGGGTGATGAGGCCCTCGTGGTTTTCGAAGACGCAGTGCTCGCTTAGGATGTGCGGACCGGACAGTTGTATGTCCTGGGGCACGTTCGCCTCGGCGCTGCCGACTCGCGTGAAGCCATCCTTGATGTAGTAGATGAGGCACTCGGACATAAGCGGGTCCTCGTTCAAATTTACCAGGTGTGGGGTCTTTTTTGGGGAGAACACCCCGACCGTGACCCCGTCCTCCTTCACCGCCACGCCCATCTCGGCGAACACTGCCTCGCGCTGCACGCGTATCGCCTCGGTGCGTTTCAGCTTTTCTTCCCACGTTTCGTTTAGCTCTGTTTTTTTTTTTTTTTCAATCAATTTTATTGATTTATTTGTTTATTTTTTTCTTCAACTAGTAAATTTTCATTATTGATGCTGAAAATATTATCGTATAGTCTTCGTCACCTGCTATGAGCTTTTCCGAGGCCTGGAGCTGCTCGACCGCTTCTTCGGCCAATGTTGAAGTTGGGTGGGAAGGGATTCTCTGGCGTATTTCTTTCGGATCGTCTTCTCGTTTTGGGTTCCGGATGAAAGAAGATACATCTCCTGCGCAAACAAATGCAATGTTTCTTGTGAAATATGTGCGTATAAGTTATCAAAGATTGAAGAAGAAAAAAAAACGTCCCAAGCGATCGTCGCAAGTGCACCAACTCTGGTGGGGTCAACAACTCGCATTACCGCGTGCAAAGTAATAAAATCGCTTGCTAAGGTGTATCATGAATATTTTTCATCTTATCAATTTTTTTTTTTCATTTACACAATTATGTACAACTTGTACTTGGTTCACGAAATCTCACGTTGTCACCACGTTCTCAACGCTGAAAGTGAAGAACAAGTGGATCTAGAGTATTTATGGAAAACAAGATGTTAATAAATACTTATTTGGGAGTATTTTACAAGAATAATAACGCAGATTTCAATTATCAGTGGATAAAGATTATTACATTTTATAACATCTTGCTCTCCAATACTCCAAATGGTATTTTGTTTGTCTTGGTTATTTTTTTAAATAAAATGTACTGCTCAAATTTAATGGGATATTATACTTGATTCGTTAAAATAGAAATGTTCCATGTGCCGATGAAACATATTATTATGGTTATCTCATTGGTATTTGAGTAAATTTTAAAAAAGTGCAGATATCCTTGAGTACGTAATAATCCACCAAATGGTAAATACAGCAACCATTTTAATGCAAAAACAACAACATTTTATGGTGACATGAAAAAAAAGCTTTACCAGATGATGGATTGGGCCTCAATCGAGTGCTAGTTGTGTAAAATCCACTTAAACAACAATGGTGTGACAATGAAAGATATTTTATGGGTACGGTGAACTTCTGTTTAAAATATTCTCTTAAAGCTTTGAGCGCATATTTTGCACGCAAAGTCATCGAAAGCAAATGTGGACGGCAAACTTGCTACTACAAAAGACTTTAGCCATGCAATGTACTCATAACTTAATTGTAAGCACACATGATTTCAAATTAACACACTTTTGCAAAATTGCGTATACGAAATCAGAGAAGTACTATTTCTTTTCTAAAAAGGAATTGTTAATTACAAAGCCAAACGTGATAAAAAGGCAATTATTATTATTTTTTTTTTTTCACAAAGCTCAAGCGCCATCAACTTGTAACGAATATTTTTTCCACACATTTTGTCTTTGTGATCAATGAGTTATTAATTCTTATTGTGTAAAAAATGTTTATATAAAGTTGTTCATACAGTTCCGTAGTTTGATGAAATAGATCTTATCGCAATATATTATGTTAGGGGTGCTATAAATACGACCGAGGCGTAATTTTTTCATTGTTCTTGTTCATTAAATATTATTACGCAAATAGTCATTCTGAATTTTATGGATCCTAATACATGTGAAAGATAAGGTTTTAATATTCGCACGTATGCAAACGCGATTTCTGAATATCGCCATCGAGATATATGTACAAAAAGAAAAAAAAATCAGAACACATGTGCCATGAGAAAGAAAAGCAAGTAATAAGCCGTGGGCAAAATTAAAAAAAAAAAAATTAAATTAACAGCAATATTTTGACAATAAAAAGTCAAGGCAATGTTTTGTTGCGGCTTGCTCATGTTTATTTTTCCTGTTTTGTACTTACTAGAATCTTTTTTTTCGTAAGTGACTTTGCCGTCGGGCCCTAAATGGTCGGTGCGTTTAGAAAAGAAAAAAAAGTGTCAATCGGTTTTTTACTTTACTCAGTTTTTTCAGATAAATTGTATTCTATTAGTTCATACAATTCAGTTTTTTTTTAAGATAATTAAAATTCTTGTAACAAGTAAAAAAGTCTCTCTTAAGTTGTGTTATACAGTAATCAAATCTAAATGACAAATATACAAGTAGTAAAGCCAAAAAAAATTTATTAATGAGAAAAAAAATTATTAAAGGTTAGTTAACATACAACTAATGATAGTAAATAGATGGTAAAAAAACTGCGATCACAATAAAATTTTATTACGATAACTTTTCATGTCTGTTTTTTCGTATGAATTATGTATTTTGATATCCTCTTAAATCACTAGTAACCTAATACTAAAATTTTCGCTCAAAACATTTAAATTTAAATTAAACCTTGTCTAGATTCCATGAAATAGAGTATTTTTATTTTTATTTTAAGTTTAAAAAGGTGAGGCATACTTTTATAGTTAGAATTTGGAATTTAATTTTTTGTTAATTTTTTTGTTCTATTTGTAGTAAACAATCAACGAAATCACCAGTCTGATTTTCGTATTTTGATCAACGTTGTTGACTAAAATTAAACATACGCTCTGTTGTAGTTAAGTAGGAATACTAAAATCTGCAACCAGACGAAAACCTACAGTAATACATATATTTATTGTTTGGAATTAAACAATAAATATTTAACATAGTTAAAACAAGTCTCTAAATTGTATTCATATAGTTTTCAAGTCAAGTGGTACGAGGGGTATACCCCAATGTATACAATATGTATATATTCAAAAAGTAGGTTTCCTTAGTCTGGCGTCTGTTGGTCACCACCTTGTAGGCTCACACCAAGCATAATATATAGTTTCACTTTTGGCTTAGCAATAACATATAACTTTTTTAATTTAGATATCAAAAGTATATTCAAGTCGAAGGTGGTTTAACTCGAAGAACAAACAAATAAATTCTTTTAAAACCTAAAATATGGTTTTTATTTGTTCCCCAAAGGAAAACTTACTTTTTGTATACCTCTCGTATTTTAAAAATTACAGGCAGAAATCTTAGTTGTAGATTACAAGGAAACATTTCATGAAGTGGAAGATTCAATGAATTTTACGTTGAGAAGCAAAGGGACATCTCAATAATTATGTACATAATTATACAAACACGTCAACTTACTAGTCGTATAGAGGATTTATTATACATTATACAGAGTAAAAAAGCTCGTTGGTTCGGATGGGGCGAGCGAAAATTCGAGCTATAGAAACCTAATTGAAAACATAAAGAAGGGCAGCTTACCCTCTTGGAAGTCGATGCCTTCCTGCTTGAGCAGCTCGCGGAGCTTCTGTATTTCTTCCTTGAGCTCGCGGATGATCTTCGCGTTCGCATCCTCATTGACCACAGCTTTGCACACGATCTGCTTGGCCCTGTCCGCGTATCTGCACAACAAATTCATGTGTCTCTAATGCCCAATGAAACAAATCTCAAGAAAATTTCATTCAGATGCGTTTACTGTGTATCATTTAAAGGTGGAAACATCGAATGTTGATTACACAATTATCATCATTATTGTAAGTGAAAAAAGATTCGTAAAATTGAATTTCCATAAAACAGTAATGCTAAATGAATAGCTTTGTAAAAGGTAAAGATAAATTTGTGAAAAAAAGGAAATTCAAAAGCATAGTTCAAATCATACAAAGTGAATAATTTTCTATGGTGACTATTACCTTAGTGTGGAGAGAGTTTCGTCGTAATTTATGTCCGCAGGACTGATGGCCGCGATCATAGCCGTTTTCGAGTTGCCACCCAAATTTTCACGTAACAGCCAAGTCAGTACTGAATCTCGGTAAGGTATGAAATCAGCTTTCTTCTTCTTTTTGTCCTTTGAAGCCTAAAAAATATGTTACTCATGCATTGACGATCAAATTTTTAGTTGTGAAACTCATCTTTTTTTTTTCTCTGATGTACAATGGATAAAAAGCTTATTTTTCGACTTCACACCCACTGTACAAGGCAGTGTAAAAGTTTAGGTTCTTATTCCTCTTTTTCAAAAAATATATCTACACAAATACGCGGCAAGTTTCGTCTTCACGTCATATCTAGCTTCGGACCCATGCTAGGTAAAACCATTAAAACTGGAATACGTTCGAAAATAACCAGTACTGCCCCTATTACAGAGAATAAATTTTTTTCGAAATGATCGTTAGATAACAGAATTTACACGTTACATTAAAAAAAAAAAAAATAAAATAAAATAAAAAAATAAAATCAATCAAAACAATAAAAAAAAACTAAATTTTCTATAAGGGGTCGAAAGCCTAATATTGGAGTAGTTTATTTATAGTCTTGACTTTTTTTTTATTTCTTAAACCTCATTGTCATCTTTGCTAATTATAGCTTATTTTAATGTTAAATATTTGTAATAAGACGATATAGTGCACATTTATCCGGATTTTAAGGTATATTAGCAAGTGCTCGATTGCAGGATACAGGAATTCCAAATCACAAGAATTTCCAATTCACCTGAAATGGAACACGATACTGTGTGACCCAAAACCCACGTAACATAACTAACCTATACGAAAGAATTTTATGAAACTTATTCACGCCAAGAATTTAATGAACTGTAGATTTTTACAAATAAGTACAACAAATATAATCTTATTTTGTAGAATTGACCCATTCATGATTGGGAGTAAAACGATTTTTAATGTTGTTTCAAAGTATGGTTTCACCTTAATTATCATGGTTAGGAGTTAAATAAAAATGCACAAATCGCTATAAAACTTTAAAAATATTTTTTTTAGAGTATCTTAAATAACCTTTTATTTTTCAATACTTCCTTTGATCGTTATTTAGAGTAAATAAATGTTAAAGTAGAGCTCTTTATACCATGTCTTATGAGAGTTAACCTCCAATTAATTATTTATATTTTATGAAATTGTTGCAAACAAGACATTACTGAAAAAAAATATTAGTTGATGAATTGTAGTTTCTAAATTCAGTTTTTTAAAAAAATTTTGCGGTATATTATAGTGTATTTCAATGAACACCAACATAAAACAAACAAGGTATAGAGTTTTTAGGTTATGTCAGAAAAATTCAGGGTAATACTGCTGCGCGGGGTCAGGGGATCTCTATTATTCCTATCTCTGTCACATGAACCCTAACTATCCTAAATTTACTAGAAGATAGAATGTAACGAAACATCGTATCACTGAAGAAATGAAAAGAACTTACCGCCTGTGAACAGTCGAGAGTTTATCCAAGTATAGTAGCGTATAAAGAATAAAAAAATAGAGTTATTTTAATGGTCACGATGGGGACCCCAAAAAACTTTAATTTTGTACTGATGATATCACTAATCAACCGATTTGAAACCAAAAAATCAATGGATTCTGGTCTGATAGTTAGCCAGGAAAAATAGTGAAAAACGAAAGCACTTACAATTTCAGCCAGGGCACTGATGACCTTGCCGAGGGTCGTCAGGCTCTTATTGATGTTAGCGCCCTCCTTGAGGCGAGTACCCTTAGCACCAGTGGAATCAGCACGTTCCGAACCTGCGAGATCGACCAGTGAGATTTTGGAGACCTTTTCTGTGGCCAGACCAGTTACTGTGTCCTCCTTGTGCTGGGTGAAGAATATGGTGAATACTGCATGTGACCTGCTCGATGTCTCGTTCATGTTTGTCGCCGCCACCGTCCTGTTGTTAATAAAAACGATTAAATTAACCATTTAAAAAAAAAAAAAAAAAAAACAGATGCAAAAAAGAGGGTGAGACGGTGAGTTTGATGGATATGCTTTTATGTAGATGGAATAAGAAAATGACATAAATAAACTATAGCGTAACTTTAGTCTCATTAACCCTTAAATTCCTATATTCATTCGACTTAGATGATGAAACAATCTGATCTTTGGTAAACAAATGATAGTTCGTTCGTTTATACCTGGCCTTATTTCCCTCATCGATGAGATCGTGGATGTCCTCGTAGGACATAACAGCAAGCTTAGATAGGTCCTCGACGTAAGGCCCCAAAAGAGGGTGTTCACGGACACGTAAGTTCCCTTTGTTCTTCGGATTGAGGAGATCACGCACGCGCTCGCAATATATCTCCATGTAGCTGACCTCGACCGAGTGTTTCATTTCCTCGTTCGAGCTGTCGCTGATCCTGCGGAACAGGTCCTTGCAGATCTGTGGTATGATGCCCTCCTGGCCCTCTTCCTGCTTGCCCATCATTGTGTAGGATTTGCCGGCTCCCGTTTGCCCGTACGCGAATATGCACACGTTGTAACCTGTTGTCGGTTCGCATGGAACAGCCAAATTGTATTTTTGGAATAATGTTTGTTTGGCTTAATCAGAGTTTTAATTCATTGATAATGAAAGGAAAAACATTTTTTTTTGTTTTGTTGCACAAAAAGTTCTGGGCTGAAAACCAGTTTATTTACAAGAATTAACTGACTTTGTGAGTCCTGTAAATTTATTGAGATTCAATAAAAATGTAATTAATAAAATATTTACCCCTTATAATTTAAAATTCCAGCTTTGCTTGACAGAACTTAGTGTTTTAGAATAAAAAAAAGCATCAAATATGAAACATAAAAAATGTTATTGATATTGTATATCGATAGTACACGACTGTAGATGTGAACTACGACGTATAATGTGTACCACTTCATGCCAATAAAAGTATGCAAGACTACGTAAGCTGATTCGTGTAGGTAAGTGTGTTTTATAAGTATTTACGAGCACGTATAACTCCACGACCACTTCTACCTACCTTCGAAAGCGTGTTCCAGCATCTCCTCGCCAATGTCCTTGTAGACCATAATTTGGGAGGAGTAATTGTCTTCGTTGGGCTACAAACAAACGAACATACACGTGAAAATCCCCAACTCATAAATTCCTTTTAAAATACATATTGGGTATAACAATGTAAGGGGAGTACAAGTCGACGAAGCAAAGTACTGAACTTAAAAAATCGTCGCACGAACGGGAAAGATAATAACATCATCCGAGCGTTGCAAATTCATGACTTTAACGCTTACTGGGGATAAAGGAAGGGCCGGTCGATGTTCCGGTCTTCGGGTATCTCCGGCAATATTTTCTTGAATATTTCAAACGGGCCGTACGCGCTTGGAATTTTTTTTTCCCTCAACACCATCGACCTTATCTGGCAATTTTCCGACTTGCCTCGCTATATCAACTACGCAACGTACGCGTCCAAAGATTTCGGACACGTTGTAATCTGTTTTCACCCGTGTTTTCTGTACCAAAGATACTTACGTCCATAGAAAAGTATGAATAATCGTAGTTGAAGCTTTTGACGGCGTCCTTTGTCCCTGGAGGTGCCTTGGGATTGGCTATTGCTGTAACAGAGAAGAAAACAAACTCCATCATCTTTTGTTACAAATTGTATTTGTATCGTGGCAATGTTTTGTTGAATTTAATACCAGTCGAAAGTTCACGATAGTTACTATTCTACTCGAGTACAACAAAGTTTCGGTTATAAAGTGCTCGTGTGGTCTAAGCCACCAAAACGAGATCACTAAAGCAAACCAGCGACATCGCATGTGCATTTAGGCGCCGTTTTAATGAATAGGAGGAAATAAATAATATTTCGTGCTCGTAAGTATGTAAAAAAAGTATGTAGGTCGAACGAAAAATGTACGAATCTGCTTCATTTGAATTATTTACTACTACTTGTGCATTACCTGCTTACATACTTGAATAATATAGATACGTGCGATTGAAATTACGCTTTTTTGTCCACGACATTATTTATTCTACTAAGCTATTTACCGTTTTTCGAAAATCATTCCAACTCCCTGCAATACTTCCAGACACATGTACTATCACACCGAAAGGACTCATAGTGGAACTTAGATTTTGTAAGCTTGTGACCAGCTGAGATACCAAATTCAAACGTTCTTTATTGACCTAACGTATAGCTGGACTTACATCAGTGAATGCCGTGAAAAATATACCACACAGGTATCACTAATATTGTTCATACACGAATCTCATTTCCAACCGTAGTAAGTCACATCAAACAAGTATTAACAATAGCCCATTTGCTGTGTCGCTAACGAAAGATTATTCAAACAAGTTGCCATAAAAGCCTCGGGCACCGTTTCGAAGTTTATACTGGTGTATCAGGGCGTGACCGAAGTACCTTTGAGGCCAGTAAACCTAGTCGTGAAAAGCCAATTGGTGGCGCGAATCAACCCTTACCATACAGTTTGGGCGTTGCGTAACTCTTCGAACCAAATTGCACGTCAACAAATAGCTGACTGTCGAAGGCCAAAGTCGGAATAATAGGACCACTTGTCATTGTGACAAATAACACAGCGGATAATAATACATTAGGTACACGTATGCTGCACCTAATTTATTTATTAAAGCATATCACGAGCAAAACATTTTATAGTTTTAAAACAACAAATTTGCGCATTGTTTGCCGCACACCATTGAGGATCAACCAATTGTCATTTCTAATGTACATATTATTTTGAAAATAAAAAACTAAGAGTAACAATACGAGTTTATAGTGAAGTTAACAATGCTTGTTGATTATGCGTTTGATGTTGGTAAAAAATGCCTTTTTCAGTTTTTCAACTCATTGCCAGCATCATTGGAATACGTAGACTTGTTATAAAATGTCCCTCTCTACCGTACTTTGACAAAACTTGTTGCCATCCTAACGTTGAAAATTGTATAATTCATGCATCATAACTTCCATTTCCACGTCTCCGGAATACGAGACGACATAAAAGAAGGAAACTGTAAAAGAGCGTCGTTGAAAATGTGTACATACACATAAAATATAATGGCCCAGTCCCACGCACGGGTGTAAACTATATGTAGTATGTACCAAAGTGGGGTAAGTCTTGCACGCACGTGTCCACTCGTTCTGACGTCATGTGAACTCCCCCCATCATCTCGACGTGTAACACATGTGCGTACGTATGCGAGGCAGTCAACTATGATATGTGTTCATTGTCCGTATCCATCGGAAACCAATTCTCTTGGACATCAAGGTCTACAATACAATGCTGAATTGGTCCAACAAAGATGAGGTAAATTGTTTGTTTGTTTTTTTACGGTGCAAGAGTTAATTCATCACACAATGTTTAAACAGATATTTTCTGCTTAAATGCTTACTAAACGTATTGAGATATATTGTATAAGAAATCGGAAACTTCCTGAGCTTCATGAAACCAGTACAAAGTATGGCCCCTGAGACCTGACGGGATATTTTGAAAAGTATAAAAGTATATCATCGCGTAACACATCATTTCGATTGTGCTGATTAGAATTGAAGAAAGCTCATGCTTGGGTTCTCTAACAATTACTTTTTTTTTAGATGGATTGGATCCCTACTGATAGTAGTGAATATCACCCTTTTATCAACCGTTTTGAAAGGATAATTCAATGAATTTTTGCTTTTAAGGATTTTAGTTAGAACCAGTGATATGACGCATTATGGCGTTTCCTCAATTAAACTTTGAACAAATGACGTCGGATAATTTTTATCCATCATCGTCTTTCTGAGTAATTCAGTTTTTCTTTATGATCAATAATAATAACAACAATTCAACATCAAATAAAACATTCAATAATAAGAAAAACATGACGTTTATGGAACTTTAATCTTCAACTTCAATTTGAGCGTTTCAGGCGTAAGAAGTACCATTAGTAGAACTTATTTGCACAAATTAGAGAGTCATTGAAGGAACGCTATGCTCAGTAAGCTCTATTAATTTTATTCAATGCAAACTTTGCTCTCTTTGAAACTTTTTTTCTGCTCAATTATTGTTGTGAGGTTTTCAAAGTACTGCAACGAAAGGGGTCTGTACTTTCTACAAAATAAAAAGAATTTGATGAATGTTGTGAATAATTCATTTAGGAGTGAAATTTTTGCCTTCTCGAGTCTTTAAAGAGTTTTGTATTGTTTCACGTCTCATTTTATACATTTATTAAGGTAATGATGTAAACAAGAAAGATTAACAATTTTGATTTCAATACACGGTTTCCCTCAGAAATCAAATGAAGATAATTATTTTAATAACTTTTCTCCTAGTTTCAATGTCATACTAGCATACACTCGTAGAGTTTCAACTATTTATGAAATTTGACACTTGACAGAGACTCTTTCAGTTTCAACAGTCAAGATTCTAAACATAACTACTTATAAAATCTATGATGTATTAAATATCAGCTTTACTACATTATATTAGCAACAATAAAAATATTTCAAGTGCGTCCAATTAGCACTTGGTGCACACGTAACGCATCCATGCGTAGCATCCTACGGATACTAGCCAGAAATTATCAAATGGAGTTGTCTGGAAAGGCAAACAGAACCAGCATTCACGATAATGTATCGGTTATTGCAGTGTATCGTGGTAGTACATCGGAAGCACCAGAGAAATCAATATCAACATCAACAGCGCATGCTGCAAGTGAATCGATTGGGCTAAATAGGATGTCTATAGTGTTATGTTCATGATGATCATAATATAAGTGATGTACGTTATGTACGTGTTCCCAATATTTAGGATGTCCCGATTGCGTGAAAAAGTGAGAGCCAAGTATGTAGTTACGATTTTTATAAGTTAACGAATTGCATTAGATTGAGTCAATGAACTGTTAAATGACCATTACATAAATATGTTTAAAGGTATTTACATAGTCTTACCGAATATAATCTTTCTCTGAAAAAAAATGAATGGATGAAGACTATACACTGTAGGATACTTGCGATTGAACAAATGTTCCATCCTTCATTATTATTTAATACTCCTCTACTATTTTGCTGTAAGTGTTTTAGGGAAATATTGTTTGATTTTTTAGAACCATACAAATTACAAATGACTCGGGTATTGGTAGCTATTCCGTCTTCTGTAGAGTTTGATGTTTCAATTACCATATTTTCATTATATTTTTTAATTAAAAGAGTTGCAAGAAACATGTCAAACAACTTGTGGAAACGATCGTCCTCATATTTTTTACCAACTCGCGATTTAAAAAATACTCAAAGCCTCTGATTTACAGAGGAAAATATTAAACTTTTACTCTCGATTCAGCATTCTTCCAATCATCCGTCGGGAAAAATAAAAATGGTCCAAGATCGAAACTTTACATCGATGTGCTACTAACGTCTTATGTGATACTAATGTATCTACCAAAAGTAACAACGATTTCCTTGTAATCACAATTCAAAGACTCGTTATACAACACACTAGATGAAATAAGACTACGAGCTTGTCGTTATCATTTGCGGAACAATAAGGTCTTATTCAAAGAAGAAATATCAGCTGGAAACCTATCTGTACTATTCTGGAAATTTACCTAGATCAACTAAAAATTAGCATATGGATCTGCTGAAAATTCTACCTGCGTCGAATTCAAAATCTTCTTTAATCGACTGTAAGAATGCATTTGGATCAATTTTCTTTCTTGATCGCGTGTATCCGCCATCGACAATCGGCAAAGTTGCAAAACATATTCACTTTGCTAGAGTTAATACTTCAGCAACCTAGACGAAGCATTATTCAAGTAGGTTTCGATTTTACTACTGTAAAATGAAAAACACATCAAACATCTTCCAAGATGAGTGCAAAAATGGCTATTATCTAGATGCGTGAAAGAGACTTCCACCTATCCTAGGTCAAAATGAAGCTTCCTGCATGATGGAACCTTCAAATCCAAAAGACTAGTCGAAACCTCAATCCCGAAGAAACTTGTGTTCAGTCTCGTGTGTAATTTATAACGATAGCATTTGCATTTAAGAGCTGGCAAAAAAGTAAAATACGTATGTACTTGCAAATGACACATCATCAGCTCCTGGAAAAAAGAGAGGGGCTGCTCAGTGGCTCGGAAAATCCGCAGAGGTGCTACGGTATGACTTTTGGATACAAAAAATGGAAAAACAATGCCACACAGACAGAACGCGTGGTTATCGGTACAATAAAGTATGCCCCGGTCAAAGACGTCGAAGCCAATGTCAAGTTGACTGATAAGGTCAAGTATGCGGTCTCAAAAACAATAGGTGCTCAACTTTAAAGCAAAAGCCAAAACCAAGTAAAAAAATGTCTATTGATCTACAAAACGGTAAGAATCATATAAATCTACGTAGACACGATGGGGATGGGTGCAGAGCTTGCATAAAGGATCATTCACTATAATTTCAAATAAGTTCATCGAGTAATTAACACTTTGAGTATTTTGTTGAGTGCTGCATGATTGTTCGTAACTGTTTGATCACAAACATAAAGGTAATTTGCTCTTATTTTTCTTATCATCCAGAAAATAACAGCAACATCTACACCAGCATCAAATACATCACAAAGAAACGACAGCATCATTTGAAGCTGATAAATTCAATTTCAACAAAGTTACACGATATTCCGAGACATTGGTCGATGATAATGCATGTAGTGCCACGCAAAAAGTACCACTCGACTATGACAAAAGTACAAAGAACAGACTGAAAGAAAAAGAATGATAGAGGAAAAAGAGGAGGATGGTGGAAAATCCAAGTCTGATTAATTAACCGTAGAAGGGTGCGAGATAGAAGGAATCGAGGAAGGGGAGACTTAATAACGTATTGACTATATATTTATGCCCTCGCCCACTGGTAAATAACGTGCAATTTGACAATATATAAGAAAAAATGTTGGATGGAGTAGGTGAAACGGTCGAAATACCTATATATAAGCATGTTTGGGGTGTCCATGAATGAAACAATGACTATTTGTCGGGGAAGGAGAGCACCGCGAGGTGGGGAGAAGAAAATATAGTAAAGAGCCGCGGTATTATATACATATAGAAGCAGTATAGCGGAGCCAGCGCGTGACTCATGAACTGCGGAGTATTGATCGGCAACATGGCTTCCCGAGAGATGATCCGGAGAGGCTCTGCCGAGCTATACAAGCGACGCGATAAAGACAAAGAAATTAAATTTACCATCACTTTGAGTCTATGCATTGTTCGTGTGTGTGTACATATTTATGACTCCATTAGCGCCTATACTGTCATCCCCCACGAGCTTCCTCGCAGGTATGCGACAGCAGCGAACCCCACCTGACTCACTTTTTGCTTTCGCCCCGCTCGTTCGGCCAAAGACGGCGGCCCCGACGTTTGCTTATTCGATTAGCCGGCGCTCAGCGTTTCATTGAGCGGCCAATCACAACTTTGTCGCAACGAGTTTAACACCTACTCTGGGTACGAGTTGCTTACTGCCCGATGCAACTTACGACTTTGTCAAGGTTTTTTTTTTCACACCTCGTTTTTATTTTCAAAAATAGAGTTTTTCGTAGGGAGGATTTTACGAGTACCACAGGGTAACGTTGGATAAGGTTTCAAATCAAATGTAATTTTTTTTTTTTCATAGACTCGTATGGATAAGATATATTTTTCGATGCACAATACCCATTGACGAGAGGAGTTTGTCAAACAATTATAGAGGAGTATACAAAACAAGCGACAAATTTTCATCAAAAGCATACCATAATGTGACTTTTTATTAAAAAAATGTAATTTTTTATGAGAATACAAAACGAGAATTAATTCACCCGAAATTCACAAATTTTACATTAATTTGAGCACTCAACACTTTGTTTGAAACAACTAATGCAAGACTGAATCCTACTGGATTAATTTTTTATCATTTTAATCGCAAACAAAATTAAAAAAAAAAAAAAACCTTTTTTCTTAAAAGCTTTATAAGAAATAAAATGAAATTTAATGCACCAATATATGTATGCTATTAGTTGTATTTTTTTTATACATCACACATTTCGACTGTTGTTGAAAGCACTCAGAGATACGCCGATAAAAAAGTACAATCATCTATTTAAAAAGTTTCCAGATATTTAAGTGTCACACACCCACCAAATAAACGACTATTTGTCTCTTCTCGAATCCATTAATACATGCTTTTTCGAGAGGAAAATAGTATTTATACAAATTGAAAGTGCTGTGAGCTCGATGAATTGTACCATAAAGAAAGACTGATGCTAACAGTGTCACAAAACATTATAGTTTTGAAATTTTATTTTCCATATTTACTTACATGTGGTTTTGTCGATCATTTCTATAATGCACTGGGCCTCTCGGTTGATCTCCCTCATGTTGAAGGGACGAACCCTCACGGCTACCTTCACCGACGACATTTTCACGGTTTTGTAGCTACGGCTGAGTCCCACTTAGTATCCTCTCGGCTCTGCAACATCAACCAAAGAGAAAAAATATGTTATTGCCATCTTAATTAACATGTGCTTGTGTTTTTTTACACTACGTTGTGACCTAATGTTATGGTAAATTAGTGTTTTTTACGCTCAGAATCCAGAGACTTTTTTTAATTTCTTAGCATCACTTCTTATATTTGTTATATTTATAACATCAATGTATTCAGCTTCTCTGATATTTCCATGTAGTACAATAACGTTTTTCAAGTTCTCTAAAATGTTATGTTCCGCAAAATATCACAACCAATTTTTAGAGAAACAACTTAAATTGTACGTGCCATAACCAAACGCAAATGGGATGAGGGAAATATTTAATCGATATTCTGTGAAAAATGTATTCATACTCTTTATTCCTCCCTTGCTCATGTCAACTGATTTATAGTTACGTTGGTCACACGCGAATCAACTGTGCATCGACAGCCTTTGATTAATACACTTTTCAAAGTTTAATCCACAAGTCGACATAGAGTACAGCCTAACAAAAGACATTTCAGAATACCATGAAGCTTCAAAGGCTTGTTTACAAGATTGATACAAACCATTAAATCGAATGGAAGATTGACTATTATTGGTAAAATAATCAACGAGTTCGTTTAAGAATCGAGTTTCAAACGTTAGGAAACTAACTGTCCTAGTATTCGAATACGTAAGATTCTAGTACAGAAAGTGCTAATTGGTAACGAAAGAACTAGCAAATATTGTCGTATATTCGAAAAACAGGAAAATTTCCTTTGAATGTCATGGAGAGAAATGAACGTTGGATTACATCTATGAGCAAAAAAGTACTCAGAAAGTAACAGAAAACATGTGCACTTCCAAACAAATTAGAACCTCGAAAAATATAAATAAAAAGTAGACGTCTTCAAGAATCTTATGTAATAATTTCCATAAATTTATTTCGTACGTTATTATTGTATCACTAGCAAGTGGAATTATCCAAAGCAATGTCTGCATCTTCAATGATTTACTATTAAAGCATTTTCAATTTGTTTTTCAATTCCTACACAAGCATCAGTACAGTATGTACACATCAGTCACCCAAATGTACAAAATTGTCCGTTCTTATAGTAACGTAACACCACAATAAATGTAATTTGCTATACAAACTGGTCCAATGGGAGGAAGGCTCGCCAAGGTAACGGTCATAAAAATAAACAAGGGTCTTTCGTCCAAACGGCATCGGATTTTTTTTCGACATCCTTTTTACGCAAGACAATGGAATCCAATAATGGATATGGGCGACTAATTAATGGACGCTGGAATTGTGCTGGGTAATTGGGCGCAATCGCAGGTAGAGAGACAGGAAGGAAGGGAGGCCAGAGCCTGGAATGCATAATTAATCGCGTTGTTAGTGAGCTGCTTAGTGCTGGGACTCCCGGACGTCTTTATACGGTGGAATGGCCCTAGCTTTGTTTCCCGACCCTTAATCTCACACCCCTTTTAGGTCTCTGTTTTACCTACGATGAGTGTTTTATACCTTGTAGGCATACAAAAACAGAGTGTTACTTTTCCATCTGATTTTTTTTGCCCACAATATTTATCAATAAATAAATAAATAAATAAAAATACTCGAGAAACATAGGATTTTTGTTGTGCTGACAAATTTTCTCTCTACCTTTTAAGAACTTTTAGGATAAAAATCATGCTTGGTCCCCATTGTGTGTATTTTCAATCAAAACTTATTTTTGTTGTAAAATAAAACCTCAACGAAATGAAATAAAAGATCAAGTAACAAAAACACCTCGTGTTTTTTAAATTTAATTGAAATTTTTAATTTTTGATTGACAGGTGAATAGGAAAACACCTTGGGTTCAATCTTTTTTGTTTTGTTTAATGAATATAGTAATAATGGAATTTCTTTCAATGATTCATTCATAATAATAATGAAATTCTGCTCCTGAATGAGAGAGAATTTTAAAACCTTTGCGTCTTTGAGTCAGTTCCAATCAGGTACTGAACAAACAACAAAAATCTCAACTTCGTGACTAAAGTGTAAAAAGACACAAAGATCACTTTTTCGGTAATCTGGGCGCAAGACTTGACCTTTCCGCCAAAGTGGGGCTCTTTACACCTTCCGTATCAAAAAATCTCATACAACACATGGGCATATGGTGATTTCATCATTTTTATAACATTAATCAATGATATACTCTGGGAAAACCAATCAGTGCAAATTTCGGAAAAAATAGAAAACAGTTGAAACATTTAGGAAAAAATAAGTAAAGATGCATGTAAATAAAAAAAATAAAGGCATAAAAATAAACCTAAAAACATTAGACACGTGGAAGATGAAATATACGTAGGGACGTTCACTAACTTTTGTGTATTGTAAGTTTGATATCACTACAGGTTGTCACTCGAGTTTATAAAATTTTCTAAAACGTAAAACGAATTTCATGACACGGTTCGGATGAAAAAACCTCTAGACTGAAGTGCTATAAGGAGACCATATCTTAAAGTAGGTATTCTTCAGTGATGTGTAGGGAGAGATAAGAAATTCACGTTTGACTGGAGCAACAGACTGACTATTAGTCGAAGATACACGAATGAAGAAGAGGCATTGGACTTGACACCACTGCTCGTGTGTGTAGTCTCGAAGAAGGGCAGAAACCTTATAGACAAAAGCGGTTGTCGTCTCGGCTTTCTCGTGTACATGATGTGATCAGCGGAAATTATTTGATGTGCGGTAGAAACAGTTGTTACGTGTCAGAGTTGCAACATAATGTAGACATATGCATACAAGGGTTGGTTACACGCTTGGGGTTGTTTTTGCTTTTCTAAAGAGGAAACATTTTATCGGGTCTAAAAACTAAATTGTGTAATATTTTTGCTTGTTTCACTTTTTTGAGTATAAAAATTTATATTGAGAAAATGTATAATTAACATTATGTGCGATTTTGATTTCATACAAAATTGTTTTGGGTCAAAGAATTTTTCCGAACTTCCATACACACGTTTCGCTGAATAATTGATTTGCACCTTAGGTAGAAATGAAGCTCTTTATTTATCTTTGTATTCCATTTTTCCACGTAAATATATACATTTTCGAATGTTTATAATATGCACCCCTTAATTATGTAAATTTTTAAAATGTTGCTTTTTAACAAAAATAATAATTTCTTTCTTCTGAAAAAGTTTACGTGATAAATTCAAAAACGACGATCTGTTGAAATTAAAATGCTATTTCTTTTTTAATCCCTTGAAAATATAATTTCGTCGTCACTCTTAATCTTATTTGTTGTCGAGTCTACAACTCCGAGAGGATTTACAATTTTTAAAAGTAACAATCAATGGAAACACTAATCTCTTACACATGAAAAATTTATTGGAATTTGTGATTGACCAGATATCTTATTTGAATTTTAATAATTAGGAAACTTACGGCACCAACGATGAAAAAGGCATCACGAATACCGAGAAAGCATTGCATGGATTTCAATAAAATTCCACCATATCCGCCATAAATGAACTATTATGCAACTGCTGATCATAAATTTTTATAATTTAAAATACTATGATCTAAATTTTGTATACGTTTTTTTGTGTATGATTCATAAAGAATGATACATTCTGAAATTATATAACGAGGTAGATTACTTAACGAATTGCGATTGGAATTTTTTGTAATCGATTAATCTGAAAAATTCTCAATGTAACAGTTATTTTCCTACTTTAGGCGTTTTTTCCTTTTGGACGTTTACTGCGTCGTCGGTACAAAAATAGAATTTGCACCTCCGGTGCGCACCCAACCAGGGAAAGCGCGAGAAGTCTCTTTTAAGCATCAAGTAACAGGTACGAAAATTCCTCTTGTCGTGAAAACCGTCACGAATAGTAAAGTACAAAAAAGTATATTTACTGCCAAGAAAAATTTGCGCTATCTATTCGTCAACACAGGCAGAGAAAGAGATAGAGAAGAAAGTATTTCCGCTCTGTGTAATTTTTCTAGAAGAAAAAATAAATACGTATTCGTTTTGCGATTCACGTGGTTTCCTCCCTCCACAACTGAGCTAGAAGTTTTAAGCTATACGATTTTATCCTTTCCAAATCAAAAACACATCCCGTTGTACGAAACGCCAAAATGGAGAAAAATATATTTAAAAAAAAATTTATTTCGAGATTACATATTGAAATCCAGGTCTAGAATATAATACATTATATATAAGTACTGACTTATAGTGTGTGTAGCATCTTTGTTTGAAAAAAAGTCACGTAAAACTGTATACATATAGTGCCCCCTGACTGTTACGTAGTACGTACACACAAAGATAATTCTTTCCCTTTACAAATACAAACATGGTGTATAGGTTCGGCCTTCACTCGCGTGGTGGCGTGACATCACTCGCTTAGCCGAGTCGCCGAGTGGCGAGTGAACTTCGAGCGTTCATCGAAAATTCGGGGGAAGGAATGAAGGAACTACATTCACTGGGATTTTGTAGTGAACGCACTCGTAGAGCCGAGTGAACTTCGAGCGTTCATCTATAGAATTAGGAGGAATTAATTGCGTTCACTAAGATTTTCAGTGAAATTTATACCCATGCATCACACTAAACTGGTTACTGCAATTTTTTCTAGCATCATCTTTAGGAAAGCAGTGTAAATGCATTTTCAATTCATGACAATGTAGCTTTTGGACCAGTAAAGTTAATTAAATAGTTGCTGTATTCAGTTTGGTTTTGTATTCTAGGGTCTAGATGAGTATGCACATTCAGATACCTACAACTGGCTTATACGGTGATTAGTGAGGTTGTGGATAGTCCCACAAACCAATGTTGACAGCTCTAAAATCCTTTTGTGCACCCTTGTCTGGGTACCACAAGTTAATTGAGCACTTGAAAACTTTTTGTCAACTTACCTGCATAAAATTTTAGCCACGCTGCTGTAGTAGTTGTAATCACTCCCATCGAATACCTGTATTTGGTNAAAAAAAATATATTTATAAAAATTTTCAATATTTTATTTGACAAACTACATTATT